TAATGGGTATTCCATTCCCATTAAATATTGTAAGCAAGTGAATTCACCAAAATCATCCAATATAATCCAATAGTCCATAACAGTAGTGGGTTATCTATGGAACTGGAAAATTCAGAAGATATTTACTTGGATCTTTTATACCTCAGCATATTAATATGGCATTGATTTTTATGCCTCATGTTTATACTTTTCTGCTAGATTGTTACGATCAAGATAAAGCAAGACCTATATAACAAAAAAGGTAACTTTTGTATCTGACAAGGTTTGTCAATTCCCCACAGGAGTTTCCCTGAAACTATGTACAGCAGTTTGTAGATCTTTTTTCAGTGTCAGTCATGTGGGGGTGTTACAGCCATTGCTTGACCAATTTGCCCTCTGTGAAAGCCTGAGAGAATGTTTCTCTCTGGGTGACTCTCCTTAGGCACACTCTACACCATCAATCACATTGCTCTGTGGCCCCAGAATCTGCTTGATCAGAAAATTTGGGACATCACTGAGTTACAAGATGTTACAGTACAGCTTCTCTTATGTCCTGAGTCCTCACTGACCTTGAAGGCTTAGGGCCAAAATATTGACTATCCTTGTAGCCCTTCTTTTTTCTCTAATATTTCAAGTTTAAAAGGATTGTGCTTCTAATGCACATGCGATGTAATCTAGTGCTGCAAGTGTTGGTAATTTTTGGTTTATTTATAAATTTATAAAGAGATCATGGAACATTAAAGCCCAGTAAGTAAAAACTACTTGTTACTTTATTATCGATGCAGAGTTTGATTTTAAGAGATGTCAATTATTAGAAATTATTGTCCTGTGCTTTAAATGGCAATTGTTCTCTTAATGCATTAAGGACAAGAAGCATTCAGGACACACATCTAATACCTGGTAGAGTTAAATTCCTTAAAATGATCGGCATTCCAACTACTAATATTCTCTTTCTTATGTTTAGTCATAAAAAATGAAAAAGAATATACTGACTGGATGTCTTCAAGCAATTACAGACTTTTCTGGTAGTAGTTTCACTCAGACAAAAATCATGTTTTCTTATTTTAAATGATACAGGTATTTTATCTCTATTCGGGAAAGTTAACTAAACTAATATACTTTGTGATAACCATTTAAAATAACAAGCCCAAATGGAGATAATAGTGAAATCTTTGTCATTCTAACAAAAATGAAAACTGTGTAAGGAAAGATGATCCCTGCCCTCTCTCCCAGTTTGCCTTATGGAATGTTATTCCTCCAAAGGAACTTGTTTTGCTGGTGCATGCCTCTAATTCTAACATGCTTAGAGGCTTAGGCAGAAGTATCAAAGATACATATCAGCTAGGATTAATTAGTAACTTATTGAGACAATGTCTGAGATAAATTAAATGCAGGCTGTGGATGTAGCTTACTGTGAAGACTCTGGATTCAGTCACTGACTGCATATACACACAAAAAATACTGGAGAGTCCAGAGGATTTAGATAGACATGGAAATATGCACAAATCTGTGACATGCCAAAGGGAACTGAATCTTTGAGTGCTATGAAATTTATTACTTTCCCAAGGAGAAGAAAGGAAAAGTCCCTGCTTTGCTTTGATTGAAACCCATCCCACATTTTAAGAGGGAAGCATTTCCTGGTGATTTTGCCAGATAGAGCTTTTGTAATTTTCTATGGCTTGGCTTGAAAAATCAAACATGGAGTTTTAGCTAGGAATTAGATTGTTCAGTAAACATATCTTAAACTATAGCTAAAATCATAGCATGATTTACAGTAACAAAAGTTAGGAACATCCTATGTGTATAAATACGGTAAAATAAGTATAGAACTGCTGTAATCATTTAAAGCCAACTTTATAAAAATAAATGACATAAGAATAATAATAGTAAGTGGAAAAAGTAGTACATTGTACACATAGTATAAGCTCTAGTAAGGGACATATTAGAACTTATATATAATAACAAGTCGTATGTAATAACATGTTGTAATCATTTCAATTGAGAGTCATATATCTGTGTACAATTTTATACAAGAAATTTCACTGATAGTCCATGACTTACAAGTTCCTTTCCTGATGATGAAAAGCATTTTGTGTTTTAAAATGAGCAAATTGTATTTTTAAATATGTAATTGTTTAATTTTAAGGTTCAATTATGAATCAGCTTAATGTGAAGAATAAGCTTAAATGTGTGTATGTTCATGATGTTTCAATGAAATCATTGAAAACTTTGTACATTGAATAATACTCTAAAGTGTAATTTTGCTATACATTTTGTTAAGAATTTTGTGACTGAAAAGACATATAAATATTTATTTTGTTTAAATAGCCCACAGAGTAAAAACTCATAGGATCATTAAAGAAAAACAAAAATGTGGTACATTTTTACAATGAAAATATATACCAATAATTATATAATGGGTTTTCAATGATGTGAAAATTTTAATGATAAATTATTCTGTGTCAAATATTATAAATTCTCTACATAGCATTAAATAAAAAGACTTGACCGAGTCAAAAGTTACATGATCAAATATGTTTTCTATATAGGTGGTAAGGTTATAACATTTTCCTTTTAGCTTTTATTTCTCAAATTTTTACCATGAATTTGTAATGCTAGAACAAGAAAATATAGAGATTTTTAACTTAGGTTTTTTTAACTTAGCTTGTTGAATGTTATCATTCTGTAGGACTGGCTTTGTTTGAAGAAAAATTCAAATACAACAGTGAGAAGTGCAAAAAGTATAAGAAGGTGGAAGAAAGTCTCTACAAAGACCTAGTGGAGATGTTAGGTGATGATGGTGTGTTATTATATCCTTCACATCCCACAGTAGCTCCAAAACATTATGTTCCTCTAACAAGGCCTTTCAACTTTGCTTACACAGGTACTAAATTATATTCCTTGAATTTTGTAATCTTAAAAAATGAAGATGTATTTAAGACTAACAATTTCCCTTCCCTGTTGTTTATAAGCTTTATCATATGACGACTGAAAACAAATTGCAGAAAAGTTGCTAATATGTTACATGGAAGATAGTTTACTAATAACCAGTCTTTCTATAAGACCATTTAATTCACTGAGAATTTTACATAAGCGATTCTTATGGAAGTGTGTTATTACTGAATCCAACATCTTCCTTGGCTTCTTCAGCACATAATAAAGCCAAATTAGACTTTATTCCAAGATGTGTGGCTTCTCATGAGATTCTAGTACAGAAGACAATTATTTAAAGGGACATTATTTCCCTTGGCTATTTTATCTTCTAAATTTTATTAATTCAATTTTTCACCCAATTCATTCTTTCTCAGTTATTAGTGTTATGAAGTCTCTCAAATATGCACCTTGTCCATTTTTGTGATTTATTCAGAGTTTCTTCTAGAAAATAATAATATTCTCTGAGATTAAGATAGAAACATCCTTATTAAATATGCATTACCATTTTAGAAATCAATAGTCCACTTACACTTGGAATTTCTATTCCTATTTATGTAAATTTAAAGCTTCAGTTATGGCATCATCTGCGTGTCTTGGAGCAAGACACTGAAATTGGCTGCAAAGAGAATGGAATAAAGCATCTGCAAGCTTAGGCAAGCACAGGAATCATGGTTCAAAACCCAGCATCACATGCCATGTCAGCTCTGCCCCCAGGGCAGGGTTGGCCAGAGTCTATATGTATTGTCAGATGTCTGTAACCTCAGCACTGGGAAGGCTGAAAGCAGGAGGATGACCACAAGTCTGAGCTATGTAGTGAGACCCTGCCATAACCAAATACATTTAAAAAAAGGCAAAAACTTTCTGAATATATGTTTTCATATAGGAAGTCTACAGTGTTCCTGTCAAAATTAGATCAAGTAATGTACAGAAAGCAATTAATTTGTGAATTCTTGAGAGTTTACATAGAGAAGGAGGTTATATAATACCTATGGATAGTACCAGTGTATGAACATCATCAATCAGCTGATTAGATAATTTGGTATAAGAATGTACTGCTACTCCCAGTCTTGCTGTGCCTGTCCCCATGGCCGCCATGACTCCTAGCCCCACTAATAAAGGGATGAACTGGACTGCCCTCTTTGTGTGGCTGATAGCATAATCTAAACTGGGAAGGGGTACAGGATCATTACCAGAGAAGACATCTATATCAGGCAATAAAATTGCCATGACACACAGTCCAATCCAGTTGGTAGGTAAATATGTGAAGGCTAAATTTCCCCCACATACAAGCACATGTCACTTTTTTTTGGCAAATAGGGCTACTGTAGTTAAGTATTTGATTGCAGCTGGTGAAGGTAACAAATCCTACATCAACAGTGAAGCTATCATTGTGGAAGCTTCCTTCTATACAGGAAGAATTGCACAGGAGATAATCCCCCCAGAGATGGTGGCTCTGGCTAATGCCTGCCAGTCCTCTGGAGTAAGCTAATTGTCAGCCACAGTTTCTAAAATGGCTGTGGTGTATGGAGCCGTGGCTCTGTATTGAGCAACCGCTGCTGCCATTCTGGAGCAGGGGTCTTGTGGCTTTCCCCTCAAGGCAAAGTCCCTGACCTTAGCAGTTCTAAGGCTGTAAAGGGTGGAGACCTGCCTCCTCCTGTGATACCCTCAGGCCAGCCTTCCCATTCTCAGGTTCCTTCCCGGAAATGGAGATACTCCTTCTCTATGAGATTCTCTCAGCTCCATCTTTGCAGTCTACAGCTTTCTTGGTGCTTTCTTTCTGGCCAAGTTCACAACATTTTAAATCCTCCTGCTGGGCTCCTTGCTCTTTATTCTCAACATAAATCTGGCTTCCTGGTTTCAATTTCAAGATGAGTTTTACATTTTTGTCCTTGTAGTATATTTTCACCCTTTTTTAATCACATTAGCAACAACCAGGTCACAGTGTCTCTGGGATAAGATTTCATCAATTAAATTCCAGTAGGAAAAGGCCATAACAGGTCTAAAAGTCTCATAATAATCCTTAAGGGCATCACCAACCCTTTTCTATCGCCTCTGATCAATAGTTCCTTCAATAGGGAACCATGGGCAAACTTGTTTAATATATCCAAAATATTGACACAAATTCTTAATTTTAACCTTTACTCCTCGTACCTTTAATGCTTTGCTCAAACTTTCTACAAATACCTCATGTTCACTTAATGCTTGTCCCTTGCCGAAGGGAAGGGGAAAGGGGTGCCATCCGCTTACCAATGTTCAGACGTCGCAGCAGGCAACTGTGGTGCAGGCCTCTTTTATTCTCTCTTTTGCCTCTTTTACTTTCTCTTTTGCCAAATTTCTCTTGCCGGCTCTCTTGGACAGTGCTGTCGCTGTATCCTCCATACCAGGTGCCCCATTGCTGGGTGCCACTTGTCCTGAACCAGCGGGTCAGTCAACGAAGGTCACCTGAGAGAGAAGCAGGAAATTGAAGAACTTGGTTGGGGTTTGTGTTTTTCATCCTCTGGTCCAACTTGTGTTTTTCATTTGGGGACATGAGGCTATTTTAACTGAAAGCTTTTACTGAAATCTGTAAACTTCTTACATTCACTGATGTCATTTTCCATTGTTAACACCTTTATTTCGCCCACTGATTTTCACTACTCATGTTGTTTAATATATTTCTCTGATCAGACATTTTAACTTTTTTAACTTTGTTGACTTCTATTTTTGGGCATATTTTTTCATGTTTGTGAATTTTGAAAGGTTTTCTTGTCACAAAATGCCCTTATTTCTTCATATATCTTTAAAGATTTTTTTTTTGGATATATAATTATGGTTTGAAAGTTGTTTCCTTTAGAGTTCAAACCACTTCGCTCTTAGGCTTTAGTTTCTCTTGAAAAATGTTCTATAATTCTAATAGATTTTTTAAAAATTGTTTATTTTATTTTCTATGAAAACATGTAAGATAGTGTCCCATTGTACATAAGGGATTCTGTCAATGTTATGTCATGGGGGGATAGTTTCTTCAATGTAATTGTTTTGTACTCAATAGTTTTCAATCATTTGTATATTGATTTGTTTCTTCATACTGACAAAGGGCAAAAATGATCCTTGTGGGTGACCTCCAAGTGATATAGGGGAAAATGAAACTCCCAATCTGAAAGGTAACTGGGATGAGTTCGTGTTCTCTGAAACCAAAGAATAAATTTTAGGAACAAATAGAGGTTCTGAGCAAAATATATTTACTGGGGAATGAAAGCTCTTGTCCCAGAAAGGAACAGGAGGGGTGCCCCAGTTGTTGGTCCCTATGAAGCTGTCTTTCCCAGAGAATTTTATAGAATAAAATCATGTGAGTCTGAGGTAGAGAACATGGGAATTCACTTAGTTGGGCATGAGGTGGGACAAAACTATAGTCAACCAATGAGATTACCAGCATCATTTATTGCTTAGGTAAAATTGATTAAGTTCAGGGCAAAATGGGGAAGTGAGTCACATATGAAGAGGGCATGAATGTAGAACAGGACTTTGTCCAATAGCTAGCCAGTAATATTTGGATTAGTGACTCTTCCTGGCTTCCTCAAGGTGATGATCAGTACCAGATGCTGATTTTTAGAGAGGTAAGCATTTGTTCGACATTTGGTCTTTAGGTCTGGCCTATAGCAGGGGCATCCATCTCTCTCACAGTTGCAAACCTATCTTGTCTACCATGCTGTCTCCTTGAGAGCCCAGCCTTGTCTGACTGCCTATAATATTTCTATCTAATTCGACTGCCTGCAACATTCTGCCCTCTGAAGAAGTAACCCAAATTGTCATGATGGAATCATGGTTGATGACCACTCTGGCTTATTCAGGCTGAAATGGGTGGTAGTTGTGAAATGGAACTCAGATATATTCTTCAGAAGTTCTGTCTAAAGGCCCTCAAGAGACACCAGGCATTATTATCTTGGGTCAGGAGAATAGCTTTAAATCTGGAGAATACAAAACCAAAGAAACAATCATGCATGGGTCAAACAATCACATCAACAGGATAATTATGAATATAGTGAAAGATGATTTTCACCAAAGAAACAGTAATGTCCTCCACAAAGATGATAAAAATAGAGTCCAGAGGACCTCAGCATCTCCCATACCATTGATTTGATATCTAATGTTTTGAAAAGATATTGTGACATTAACAGAAAGATCTGGAAGGTAATTAACCTTTTTCAAGTTTGTAATTGTAAAAAGACTAATTAAAACTTTTTTGTAGTTTCATTAGCAGAGATCTCTTAAGCTTGGGGGTTAATCTCTTTTTTATCTTCCATGGCCATTGGGTATTATCTCATTTTTTTCATAATAATAATATTGTTGCCTTACTGGTTGTCCAAAGTACAAGATGCAGACATGGTATCCTATTTACAAACACTATTAGAACAAATCTTTCTATTCATTGCATTAAGAGAATGTAGCTGTATATTTATCCTAATTATTTTGAATACACAGATGCAAAATGGTCGTTCAATTGTATCCCCCTTTTTTGTTTAGTTGGGTCATTTAAATATCACAGGTGTGTGAATTCAGCAAAATATTCCAATATAGTACAATAGTCCACAATAGTAGTGGGTTTGTTGCAAGACTGGCAATGTCAGAAGTTGTTAACTTGAGCCTTATAGAGCTCAGCATATTAATATGGTTTTACTATTTATACTTCATTTTTATAATTTTCTGCTGGATAATTTAGACAAAGATAAAGCAATAACTATATAACAGGAAATGTAGCTTTTATATCTGATAAGGTCAGTCAAATCCCCTTTGGACTTATCCTGATACCCTGTACAGAAGTTTGTAGATCCTTTGTCAGTATCAGCCATGTGGATTTGTGACAAATGAATTGACCTTTTATATCTCACCAACTCTTTTGTTATTTAGTGCACATGAACTGTAAGACCTAGGGAAAACACTGAGTACTCTCTAGTTGGCAAGTGGGCCTACTGT